TGATCTACGAAAAAGAAAAAAAAAAAAAGAAGAAAAAAGCGATTAACGTATATTGGAGTAAATGAAAAACAAGGAAAAAAAAATACACAAAAAAAAATAGAGAGAGACGGGAAATGGTAAGAAAGGAAGGTAATAGTGAGGTCGAAATATTTAATGATTAACGAATAAATATAAACGGCATATCTGCGTTAAAAGCGTCCAAAGATATCTTCCCGACGTATTATACTTGACTTCATTTAAATCGAATACGATATTCGTAAGCTCTTCATTCAGGTGTCCGAATAAACGCGATAAATACGCTTTTAGCTTAACGATAAGTATTAAAGAAAGAAAGAAAGAAAGAAAGAAAGAAAGAAAGAAAGAAAGAAAGAAAGAAAGAAAGAAAGAAAGAAAGAAAGAAAGAAAGAAAGAAAGAAAGAAAGAAAGAAAGAAAGAAAGAGAGCATATTTAAATGGAAGAAATTTAATAGATGAACGAGAACGTCCAAATATCGTTATCATTGTTCCAAAAGAAAAAAAATTAATCTAAGATAATGAAACGTTAATTAATAAAACATGTACAAAGTGCGTACTTTAACGTGTTTTAAATAGAATATTACAAGAGAATTTCAAGAGCGTATGAAAAATTTTTACAAATATAGCTATGTATTAGTGTTTTAATAACAGCGCTACGAGAGCTGATTTTTTTTTCTTTTTTTTTCCTTTTTTTTTTTTTTTTTTTTTTGGAAGCGTCGATCACGTAATGAAATAAACGCATATACGTGCATAACATACATAGATATATACATAAATACGTATATAGCATAGATACGTAACGTTACATACACGTATTAGACGCTAGAATCATTTTTTCGATACGAAACAAAAAAAAAAGAAAATAAATAAAACACGACAACAAAAAAGAAGAAAAAAGAAAAATAGAAAAAGAAAAAAAAGAAGAACGCGTATATCCAAAGCATTTAAATTAGATATTTGAAATAATAAGAGAAATGGCGAAATATTCGATCGTACGGGAGATTCAATATAGGAGATTATTTACGAATTATTTATCGTTTTGGGAGTGGCGCAAGAAGTCGATCGGTAGAAATCGATAAGTCATCATCGTAAAACGAAAGGGAGGAAAAGTCGAGTTGTTCTCTAACATCTCTTACGAATTATTATCTACTTCTTTTATTTTCTTTTTTCTTTTTTACGATTTCACTCTTTTTTTCTTTCCCTTTCTTTCCTTTCCTTTTCGAATTCTTTTTCTTTTTTTTCTTTTTTTTTTTTTTTGTTTTTTTTTATATATATAAATATTATTCTATTCGTCATTGTTCACTTACACGTTTAACTCGAAGTCCGATCGACTAGCTATAACGAACGAAATAGCGAACGATTAATCGAATACGTCTGGACACGCACGCTCAACGTGTTCCCATTTTTCTCAAATCTCAACGATCGAGCGCTTCGAACGCTATAAAACCAAAAAAAAAAAATGGGCAGAGAGAGAGAAAGAGAGAGAGAGAGAGAGAGAGAGAGAGAGAGAGAGAGAGAGAAAGAGAGAGGAGGGGGGAGAGAGAGAGAGAAGCAGAAACGCTTATTAAGCGATCACGTCGTCGTAAATATTGATCGTTACCGCATCGCAATTTCTCTCACCCTATTTCCTACCCTTCTAGATGTGCTTTTAATGACGTAAAAAGACACAGGAAACTAGATAATACTAAATAGAGAAAAAAAAAAAGAAAGAATAAGAAAGGGACAGAAAGAAAGAGAGAGAAAGAGAGAGAGAGAGAGAGAGAGAGAGAGAGAGAGAGAGAGAGAGACGAAGGATGATCTCGCATAAATTTACACCAATTTTTTACATTACACGATTTTGTACAACTAAAATGTGGTTAAATATCGTTAAGTAAAGAGCGATCATAGTTTATCGTGTACTTACATAATACATACGTATGTACATGAAGAAGAAAGAAAAACTTAGAAAAAAAAAAAAGAAGAAAATAAAAAATAGAAAAAGAAAAAAAATGTATGAACGGGAAGTAAGAAGAAAAGGAAAGAAAAGAAAAGGAAGAAAAAAAAATAATAATAATTACGACCACGTAAGATAAGAATTTAACTACGATCTTCAATAATTCCCATCGGTACTATAACAAACGATCATTTTTCTTCTACTTTCGTAATACGTATTGATTAATTATTGAAATCACATAAAAACAAGGAAGACAAAAATCAAAAAAATTAAAAAAAAAAAAAGAAGAAAATTAAGAGAACTAAAAACTAAAATGGGAATATTATGTTGTTGAACGATCGAGAGAATATCTTTCAAACGTAAATAAAATTTGGTATTGTACAGGGATTAATCGAAAAATATTTGCGATAAGGGGGAGTACTCGAGTGAGATTAGAAACGAGAATGAGAGAGAGAGAGAGAGAAAGAGAGAGAGAGAGAGAGAGAGAGAGAGAGAGAGAGAGGAAAGAAATGTCATAAATCGTTTCTTCGTTCTCTCATCCTCTCTTTTTTCT